CCCCAAAACCCCAAAACCCCAAGTCACGATAAAGTAATAGATAAGAAGAAACATTTATTAATATTTATTATTATTATATCTAAGTTTGAGATCAATCGTTTCCAGCATTTCTGAAAACTCTCTCAACTTGACTGAGATTATTATCTTCATTGGATAGTTAGTAGCCTGAGTGTTTGCTCTTAAGCACACTTAGCTTAGTCTTGTTGGTCACTCCCACAGCCTGAGATATCTCCCCGCTACTCAGATTAAGCAGTTTATTGAGAGGTCCACCCTTAATCACATTAGTTGAGTTATTTTGGGAAGCATTGCCAAAGTTGCTTCTTCCTATTTTCAAACTGTTGTCTTGAGTCTATGGTCTCATTCCAGGATTATGTGTCATGTAGGCATTCTGATTCGATCCTAAACTAATCTTTCCATTGACTCCAGAAAGGCCTGCATTTGAGTTGAGATTAGTCAAAGAATTCTTCTGAATCGGTTTATTTGAGGTTGACTTGATACTTGAGCTTGTTGGTCTGCCGCCGTTATTCCCATTAGTATTGCTGTGTCTAGAGTTGAACTGGTTGTTTATGTTGTTAATTGACTTTGGCATCTCGTCACCATACACCCTTCCTTTTATTTAATCAAGAGGAGCTAAGAATATTGTTTAATTTATAATCAAATTTACATGGGAAGTCTATTTTGCTGTGATCATAAACTGAAACTGAATGCACATTTTACAATATAGGAAGCTAGTCCAAAGGATTCAAATTCTGTTGATATCTTGTTGGGCTTCTTTACAAATTTGGTTATACTAAGTCAATCTATTTATTGATTATTCAACTAAAGCTACATTATTTATTGCATTTCCAGATTTATTTTGCTGACTTTCCAAATTCCTTATAGCCAGAGCTAAATTCTCCATAAAACTCTATAATGGCATGTCAAATGGAAAGTATCTTACCTCTAATCTTGAGACAGTATTCTGCATGTTTTTATTAGCTTTGTCATTAAAAGTCACCTTAACTTCCCAGTTCTCTAACTTATCTCTTATTTCCTCCTTGTTGGCTTTTTTCTCTATTTACTTTTACAGCTTCTCAACGTCAACATCAGCGTAGACTTTTGCTATTTTCTTCTCCATCACTTTGTTGTTATTGGCAATCTGTTCTCCAAGTTTCCTAAGTTCTTCTCCTACCAACTTTGTAATGCTGGCATCTGTTTCGTTCTCCATTTAAGTCAGATTGTCAAAGAACTGCTGTTGATTCTAGATCAAGGAATCTTTCTCTGCCTTTCTCTACAGCTCTTTTTCAAAATTTTCTGCTTGAAGTTTTGAACTTTCCTAGAACTTTTTGAACTTCTTAGACACCTTCTGTAACTTTTTCTACAGTTTTTCATTGGTAATTAGCAATTCCTAAAATTTCTCAGAATCTACTAAGTCTGAGCCAGCTGGTCTGATTGTCGAATGCTTCAAATCACTTTACATTTTCTCTAAGTTCATCTATATTATTGAATTAGCAGGAGATTATTTGACATACTATCTTTTTATCAAAAACTGAAAGCTTAGACTATACACTGTGATCATTTTGCTCTATCATGAAAAGTCTTTACTAAAGTTCATGCTTGACTTCTTTCAGTTTCAATTCATTAGCCTCTCTTTCTTACTCCAATCTATTTCAATTATATGGTTAAATCTTACGCTGAAGTGAAAGTGTCAGTTCCCTTTTGCAACTCTCCAATTTGATCTCCAATGGCTTCTCTAATTCTTCGCATATCAATATCAATCTAATCTATTCTTCTAAAGACAGTACTCTGCTCTTTTTCTATCCACTCTTTATAGTCTCTTGTGACTTTGTTATTTTCTCCCCTAACATAATCTCTCATATATGTCTCACTTACTCTCTGTGCAAGTAAATCCTCATAGTCCTTAATTTTCCAGTAGGTATTCAGCTCTACCTCACTCAATTTCTTTTTGAATTCCTCTAATCTATCATTCAGGGTTTATTCTAGCATATTCATCTTTTTCTCGTTTTAATCCAGCATATTTTTCAATTTATTCTTTAACTTTTTAGATTTTTCCCTTAATGTAGCCTGAAATTCCACTTTGGTCACTCTTTGACTAAGCTCAGTGTCTATTCTGATTATTTGACAGTCATTTTGATGAGAATACTCTTTAAAGTCTACTAGATATTTGCCCATCAATTCAGTTGCTCTTAAAAACCTCTCAGTTCCCTCTAGTATTGATAGCTGGGATTTACTTGGGATTTTCTAATTCTAAACCCCAAATGACATTTCATCAATACTTGATTACTTTTAGTGTCCTAAATTAGTAAGTCTATCTCCAGCTATCTGAAATCCTGGAGGTAACATTGAAGCATCTCCTAGTAGCTTCATTACTGATCCCCTTCTAGTAGGTGGCTATCCACCCAACTTCTTTATTAATAATTCATAAGGAAGTCCTGTTGATATTAAAGTGAAAATATCGCCTATTTGCTACTCGGTAGTTCTAACCTGAATCTCTTTGTTTAGCGTATTTAGTAATTTGGCATGCTGATTTATAACTTTGATCATATTATTCAGGTATTCATTTAACTAGGTGAAATTCATGTTAAACTTTACTAACTCTTCTTCCTCTTCTTCATCTTCCTATTCTTCCAATAAAGATGCTGGACTTGAAGATTTTCTCTTTTTGGATGTAGATTTTCTCTTTTATTTTTAATTTTTTGGGCTTTCACTAGATTAGCTAATGGGACTGCTTGATCTAGGACTGCTGTTTTTGCTTGAACCTGAGCTTCTCTCTTCATCTTCCTCCTCTGAGCTTTCTTAGCTGTCATTGTTTGAATTGCGATTGGAATTTTTAACACTAACTCTAAGACTATTACCTTTTGAGTCAACTTTTTTATTGCCTTTACTTATGATACTCTTCGGCTATTGCTGCTTGATTTAATCAATGATTTCAGTAGGTTTAAGACTGAGGAAAGATTACTTTTTATCGCTCATTTTATTAGGATCAAATTATTCTTAATTTTATCTTTATTCAACGATTAAAATGTCTAAAATCCAGGACTTATGGGGTTTTGGGGTTTTGGGGTTTTGGGG